CTCCGGCAAAGTAGAAATGAAAAAAAACTGGTTGAGATGTAAATGAATTTAGAACTGAGCAGATCAGAGACCAATGATATTTCAGGCGTTCCCCTCTTCTAGGCTATAAGATCCCTCAGTTGGAGTGCAGTTTGGTTACTTACTTATCGCACATCGTGAGCTCTTTGGAAATGGATGTGCTCCCACTAATTTCTCGGCCTTAGAGAGAGAGAGAAAGTTGTCTCCCGCTAAATACACTGCCTTGTATTCAATAACAGGATTGAGGAGGACTTTTTAATAATAAAAAGGAACTCTCTTATCGGATGGTTGGTATAAAACTGACTTAACGAGTGAAAAGTAGATGATGTGATCGCTGAAACAAGCCTGTTACTCGCCTGACATTTCGAAATCCATTGCGGATTCTTCATCAGAGACAAAAGCAGAAACAGTAGCAGAGATGAGTGTTGTTTTTCAATGACCTTCTCATTTAATGGCCTGAGCTGGAAGGCTGCACGGTAGTGACATTTAATCTTCGTTTGAACCATGTACTTTACGAGGGAAATGCCGCGAAAATTATTTCTTCGGTAATTCGGGCCCACAATGTGTTAATATATGTGCAAATAGGTCGACGTATCCGTACGAGAAGTGGTCTAACCACCCTTTATTTGCGTGCTAACGTCAACAAGTGATGGACACACGTTTTAAACGTCCTGTGGCGAGCTACGATGCAACCTCAGGAATGCAAATCTTCGGACTCATCGGTTTAAGCCTAGCCAAAGAGTTGAAAAGGAAATTGAACTCTGGTTGCATTCCTGGCCCTCTCTAGCCCGCCGGATATCACCCCCACGCTCAGTAAGGTTGAGGTACTCGACCGCAAAGTTCCCACACTCTTGGCGAGAACTACATAATAAAATGAAATTATCTGTTTCACCAACTGATTGACAAACTTGCTGAAATTCGGCAGCACATGGACGGTTACTCCGTTATTGACCTTCGGATGGAGGACTCCATGGCAATAGCCCGTCGCACAATTGCCGATATCCTTACAGTTTTCTTCCTTCGTTTCTGCATTTATACGAACATAGAAATAGGAGAAATTAAAAACATTTGCTAAACACCCATCTTATCAAAAGTGGATTGACATAGATGTCTGGAAAGGTGCCTAATCGAAGGCCAAATTATTGCTGTCTATGGAGTAGTTTGCAATTCAACTTTCATGCTAATCAGGCTTGAAGCTTGACTTGTCCGTCCCCTGCCAGCACAGCCCCCTGACTGGACGGGGGTGGTGCCCGGGGAATACGGGGAAATCCGGGGATGAAGAATTGTTGATTAACGAATTATATTTACAGACCACATTTTCAAGATCTACTTTTTATTAATAACTTAGGAATCATGTAGTCCGCTAACAAAACTATCAATTCGGGGTCTAAAAAATGAGAAAAAGTGGGTGGCGGGTTGAAATCTCCGTTCTGAGCCCCGCCCTGATTCTCCGTCTAATCGGGGGATTTCCCCGTCCAATCTGGGGAAAGATCGCCAGTTTGAACGGGGCCCAGGACGGGGATTTCAGCCCGTCCCCCCACCGCCTGAAAAATGTTTTCGCAGTGGGAAGCTCCCTTATTTTCATTTTTTCAAACCCCAAGTTGATTGTTTTGTTAGAGGGTAATGTGATTAATAATTTATTGATAAAAAAGTAGATTTTGAAAAATGGGCTCTGTAGATATGATTTGTTAATCAAAATTTTTCATCCCCGGATTACCCCATCTAGAGCACTGGGGAATCCGGGCATTGTGCTGTCAGGGTCATGCATGTTGTACATCCACTAACCTCTGTTCTATTTGCCTTGCTGCACTTAGCCGCGGACTGCCTAGAGTCCCTCTGCTCGAATTCCTACCTCCACGGCACGGCTGGCTTTCCCCGGATGACAGAGGAGCCACATTCACCTCGTTCGGTAAAATCCACCTCCAGCGTCGCCTCCTTCCAAAATTCCTCCTCCTACTCCTCTGCCAGTCCCAACGCCTCCCCCTCCAGGCTGGAAGATATTGGATCCACCTCCAGACTCGGGTTTCCCGATGACGACGACTACATCCTACCTCAAGTGGCTGACAGTCAGAAAGCACCGGACGAGGGTTCCACTGTTCTGCCCGATCTCATGGATCCCACAATCGCTGTGGAGGCTCTACTGTCCCTAGAGAAGACAAAACCCCTGGAGGGGTCCGAGTCACAGCATCAGAGCTCCGCCCAGGACAGAGAACTCGAAGAGGCTGTAGCCTACCTCTGGCCAGCTATGGATGACAGAACCGCACTGGCTACCAAACAGTTGGAAATTAATGCCTCTTTGGGCGATCCGCAAGAGACCTTTGTACCCAGCTTTACGACCAGTCTCATTTCAGACCTTCACAGCACTTTCCCCTACGACGAGTCCTCCAAGGGTTCGTCTGATACGGAGTTGGAACATCAACTGGCCAGTGTGGACACCGCGTGGACAGCCACCGTGGAGTTTCCAGGTACTCATCTATTTTTTGCATTTAAGAATCCGTTTATAGATCCACACCAACACGCAAAATAGGTCATAGTTTGGTTTTGTAGATCCGCAATACGTAATTTTTATCGGGCGCTAGCTAACCGCCTGTTCAAGCAAACTGTTCACACTAAGGGTAAGCACCTCAAAGTTTTTCTGAAATTTTGGATAATCATACGTAAATCATCACACATAAAACCCAACGTGTCATGGCTTTCAGTTGAGAAATCTCAGCTGAGGACCCCTATTGCAACAATCTTTGCTCACAGACAAGGAGGTCTTATCAGACGGGTTTTTGAAATAGTTTGTACTGATGGAAAAGCTAACTCTGAGTTTGTCAAGTATGCTTTTTATGGAAAGCTATTGTTTTGCATTGATGAACGTTCACCCGACCGCTAACGGAACTCATCTGTCCCGCTCTGCCTGGGATCTCAACAGAGGCCCTGACGGCCGTCGCATCTGGTAGCGTAGGCAGATAGTGTTACCGGCAAAGATAAGGGAGACTGAAATGGCCCGACTGGCTGACGACGGCTAATAAGCCAGAAATGACCATTCTAGTCTCCTTGTCTTTGTCGGTAATACTATCTGCCTACACTACCGGTTGTTGTTTCTATTGATCGACCAGTAGATCGAAAAATCGATAAACATTTTTCCCTTAGAAAGATGTTATTTGGCACCTGCCGATCTTTACCGATCTTTAAGTGGCTCTTAAAAGCTGAGACCCTGATGTTAGACTAGCAGATTGCGACAGAGATTGGGTAAACAACGAGGAGTTTGTTTGAATTCATTTAAAATGTATTGATTCAGAAATTGACTTTAAAGCGAATGGCAGACAGCAATTCGATCTCTCTACTAGTTAGATTGCTCTCCTTTTCACCTCAGCCGACTAGCTAAATAAGGCCTCTTCCCCTCGTAAGCCCTGTTTCACGAAGAAAAGACTGCCCCCTAAACCAGTTGACCGTATAGTAACTTCCATGCTTCTAATTCTTCCACTTGATGCCCCAAACAGGCGGGATTCTCGGAAATATCATTACAGTTAGATTTCGGGTAGGAAGTTGAGCCAAGAGTGACTGGAAAAATCGAATGCCATGGTATTTGAGAACAAGCGCAGACATTGAAGGTTGATCTTTCCGTGGTACCGTCAATTTCATTTCCAAAACAGGTTATCGAACTCCACTACATCGATGGCTTAACTCTCGTAGCTGGCAAAATTGCACCCCATATGCGCCACCTAAAAACAAAAACAAACATTCGCTGGACTGGAATTTGCCTGCACGGAAGCCTGATAGAACACGGCGACTGCTGCAGTTCGAGGCAAAAAACACACACAGAGCCAACGCCCGTTTGCGACGACTCATCCATCAAAAGCCTCCCGTAGGCAAAAATCACGTTCTCATTGGTTGACTAGGGACCTTTATGTCCTGTAGGAACTGATTAGCATGAATCGGTGTGTGATAGACTGTTTGTCCAGAGGTCATGTTAAAACCTGTGTATGTCTGTGCACGTGTTACAACCTGGTATCAGTTCTCTCAGTTCCGGCCGTATCGAAAAACCAAGACAGGACTGCGAGTTAGTAGACTTAGAGCAAGGCGTGACTACTGCGCCATTTGATGGAAGTCTGTCGCCGTTGAGTGACAGTGTTCACCCCCCCCCTCCGCCATCGTGATTAACCACTACTCACGATAAGTCGTCAGTCAAAAACGGCAAATACTCATCACAGCTTCCGGCAGTAGTGATTATTCTTGCCGGGAGTTGAATTTTGGTGAGGGCTCATCATCTAACGCACTTTTCAGCCGTCCTCCTACCTTCTTTAAGCATCCTTTACCATCAAGATAGGCTCCAGAT